AAATTGTTCCTTGTGATGATGAGGATGATAATGGAACAGATAAGGTTTAGAAGTGAACTCAATGTATGTGAAATGTTAAGAGGAAGATGGGAAAGAAGGGATCTATTCTGGCAACAAGAGACTACTCTGCATAAGAACGTTTTTTTTTTTTATATTAAACAAACATTGGAATGTCAGTATTGGGTTGGTATTTCAGCAAAGATGATGATGCTGAACTGGCAAACATTTTTTCCAACAGCATGAAAAAGTAAAGGCATACCTCACTGCCTTTGTATAAAGCTCCTTCTAGAAGATGATGGCAGATTACTACCACTCTTAAGCTATAAGCTGTCAAAATCCATATTTCTGCAGCCAAACAGAAAATGTATATGTACTCTTAAAATTGTGTCAATCAAATCTGCAGTCCTGGCAGGATCCTTCCTGTAAGCTCTGCACTACTGTGCTTTTTACTGCCAGTTAAACAAAATTGTTGAAATTCAACACTTTCAAAATTAATTTCTCTGCTTTATCTCTACAATTGAACATTCAGCTTCCACCATGCCAAGCTAGATCCAGGTGGCCATTATCAGAATGGCCCAGACTCAGAATTTGAAGGCTGTTTAAAATAAAGACTCATGTTGCCCTGCTGAAGAAAGATAGAGAAATTCTGAAATGGAGACCCAAACTATTTTAGAATGCTTACTAAACAAATCCAGATTTAAATAATTCCCTTTGATTCGCTCTTTACTTTAGAAAACTCCCATGTCAACTCTCAGCTTAAATTCATCAATTTAAGCAAATTAATGCAAAATCTGTCCTGCGTGGCTTGAGAAACCATAAATAGAAGGATGCACATTTAAAAGAAGCAGGCTAGAAAGAAAACCATTTTTTTTTTTAATCTTTCCTGGTATCTCATTTAAATCCTCTGTGGCAAAACTGACATCCTGTCTGTGTAGTGGCCTGTGTAAAATGAAATAATGAAATCAGTAGAGCTCCAGCTAGCACCACAGTTTGTGCGTTTGACATTACAAATGCCACAGCACTTCAGATGAACTGGCAAATTCTTCCACATGAGAGAAAGGACTTCAACATAGAGAAAGAATGAAATCTCACCTCAAAGAACAACTCTTCTAACTGAGGTGTAGATTGGAATAAAAGCCCAGCATGGGACCTTGCACAACAGTACTCGGAAGAGCATCCCTTCAGTGCGTATTCTGCAGAGCTCCCTTTCTAAGACCAATCCATCAACAGCCTTTCATAAACATTGTGTTCACCATGAAGAAACTTTCACTTTAGAAAGTCCCAAAGGAACATCGAATCATAGAACTGTTTGAGTTGGAAGGGACTCTTAAAGGTTGTCTGGTTCAACTCCCCCACAGTGAACAGGGACACCTACAGCTACATCAAGTTGCTCAGAGCCCCATTCCACTTCACCGTGAGTGTCTCCAGGAATGGGGCATCCACTGCTTCTCTGGACAACCTGTGCCAGTGCCTCATCATTCTTACTGTAAAAAACTTACATCCAGTCTAAATCTCCCTTCTTTTTGTTTGAAACCATTTCCCCTTGTCCTATCACAACAAACTTGCTAAAGAGTCCATTCCCTTCATTCTTTAGCCCTCCTTTTGATTCTGAAAGGCCACAATGAGGTCTTCCCAGAGCCTTCCCATCTCCAGGCTGAACACCCCCAGTACTCTCAGCCTGTCCTCATATGGGCACTGTTCAATCCCTCTAAACATATTCATCAGCAAGCTCCTTCCTCTTGTTTTTTCTCTATTTTTTTCTAAGAAATGGAAAAAATGGACCAAACACGTGGGCTTCCAGGAATGACCCTAGTGGCTCAGCCCCTGAGGGAATAGGCTTGGCCACACTGCTGACAGAGCCTGGTGGTTCAAGCAGCTCACCACCAAAACTGCAGGCAACCATCTCTTACATTGTCCCCAATGTCTTTAGAAACTCCTGTCCCTTGAATGAAGTACCAGGCAGTCATGCAGAATGTTGTTTTGCCTCCTAGAAGGTATACTGCTATTGGCTGTTGTCTTTTTTGCTGCAGTCCAGAGCTGGTGGAAATCAGTCAAGCCCACCGGTTCAGCCAGTCGTTAAAAGAAAACCTGAGTTGTGCTGAAAGGTTCAGATTCATGATCTTTGAGGTCATGGCCATTCTGTGATTCTGTGTCATAGCATCTCACAGATGGTGATGCAAGAAGCCACTTGAATTTCTGTACCTTTTCCCCCATCACCTGACAGTGACATTGCCAGAAGGAAATGCAAATACTGACGCACACTATGCTCCATCAACCATGAAATGGGACAGAAACATCACTGAGATAACATCAGCAAATGATAAAACACCATCTGAACAGAGGGGCAAGACCACCACTTTAGTGGTTTCTTACTGCTGTTTGCACAAAAGCAGAACTGATGGATTCCCTCCAAAATACACAATAAGGCAAGGCTAGCAGCATCAGAAAGAATGACCTGAAGAAGCAAGAGCAGAAAACAGTGAAAACACATGAATTAAAGACTGTCAAGTACATGCACCTTATCTGTGCATACAAATGATAATATTGTTTCTGCAAAAACACTTTACCTATCTCTCTCTGGGAGACATGATTACAATGTAATAAGGATTAAAGAAAGGTTGGAAATGACCATCTTTCCTGAAGCATAGAGTCACGGTGCATCAAGAAGGTCAGACTGTTAATTCTTGCCTGTTTAAATAATCCTTACTCATGCAAAAACTCCCAATTAATTCATCAGGAAAAAATGCTGTATTAGCCTAAAACTCTGAAAACCAGCAAATGCCTTCTTCACATGAGGTCAAAGTTATTCAACTGAATGGATCTTTCAGGATAGTCAATTAACTTCCTGAAGAACATGTGAAGCTTTAAAAAACTGAGGCTATTTAGCTAGGACCGAAGCACTTGGGCACAGCAGCTGAGTTAAACTGGTATTTACTGAAATAGAATGGTCTCCTTCCTCTGCTGCCTGGAAAAACCAAGCCCACATCATCAATGGCAAATTACTTCAAGTATAATTGATTTCTTGTACATAGGTTACAATTTAACTTATTCAGAGGAAAAAACAACCACACAAGCAGCAGTGGCCATATTTTAGTGTAAGGAATGGACTTCTCTTTGTGCTGGAAATGTTTGCACAGCAGCATCCAAAGAATGCAACAAGAAAACATGCTGCAATGAGCCATGTGAGGCTGTGCACAATCAAATTACAGGAGGTAGCGTTTTCCAGCGGTTAGAATCACAAGGAGTTGTTTCTATTCTGGGATGTACCTGGCTTTCCATTTGACCTTGAGTAATAACATTACGTGCACTCTCTCTGGGCATCCCTCTCCTCATTTGTAAAAAGATGCAGGATCCGCTCTGGCAATGAACTAATTAAAATAATTCTGTACGAGGATGGAAACTTGTATCAGCAATCTGAATTTTGCTAATGCGTGAGTACACGGACTACAGACCGTGATCACTGCACTCTCACAAGGAACAAAGCACTTTAATTACAAGTTCTAATTTTTATTAAAATTATTTTAAAAGTATTAATACTTAACAATTTTAAATATTTTGATTTCTTTCTTTCCCTGCGCCTTTAAAACTGCAGTGACATTCAGTGGTGACAGAATTAATGATGCTACGGAAGGACATCCAGCTTACTGATTGAAACATCAGCAAGAGGACACAGAATATGTCTTACTGTGACTGTGGCATAACAGATCCCCTATGATTGTCCTCAACTCACCTGCTGGAGGAATTCCACAATATGTGCACACCTGTTGGGAGTTTTAACTCTTGACAGCTGTGTAGAGTATGCTTTTTCAGCAAGCAAGGAAACAGGGAAAGCTTTCCCCTTCGTTGTATTGCTTGTCAAAGGACATCAGGAGATTACGCCCACTCTCTAAACTGCAGAGACTGCTCAGGATGCAAGACCAGCAGGAGGGGGGAAATAACTGAAGTAGTAGAGCTCAGGGTGCTGTTTCATATGGCTGGAATGTCAGTGTACAATGAGAAGCACAGACTCCCTCAGTGTGACCCCAACTGCCAAGATAGTTGATATCTCTGCGAAGAACCATCCCCTAGAACTGGTACTGCTGCCTCTGCAGAACTTTCACAGAAAATGCTATCTGAATGAAAAGTACAGATGTGTTACGTTTAGGAATAACGTAACTCATCCTATCTTTAAGGGTCTTCAGACAGAATCCTTTTATCATGAATGCCAGGCTCCTTTAAATGCTTAGCGCTATAAGAATTTCTGTTCAAGGCAATAAAAAAATCCACAATGCTGACTTAACAATCCCTTCTGATCCCCTGGAGTCCCTGCAGTCCTCCATTAAGAGAATTTCCTCGGACTCCCATCTCCACGCCTATTATTGGAGGGGGCAGAACGGCTCTTCCCGCAGCATTTATTTACCTGTAACAGTTGCTTACTCTCCCAGGAGGAAAAACAAAATGCCAGAAGCACACGAACTTGCAAATCAGTGATGAACAGAGGAGACGCAGATTGGACCCGACAGGAGAACAGGAAGGAAGATCTACTGTGTGCCCGCTCTGACCGCTCGGTAGCAACGCAGCTAACAGCAGCGTTAGCTACTGTACCGTACTCGGTGGAAGCTCGGAACGCCAAGCGCTGCCAACGGCAACATCCGAGGGTAAACTCCCGACTCCCGAAATCAGCAGCGAGCTGCACCGCAAGCAAGCCTTACCCACGCAGCTCCCGTTCACCAAAAGCACCACAAGGCAGGGTCGGATTTCCAAATACCTGTGCTGAGCGCTGGGGTCAGTAAGCACACGTGCCTTTGAACACCGTCTCCCTCGCACCACTTGGAGTAATGATAAGGTCCCTTGTCCTGCTTTACCGCCTTCCAACCCACGTTACTTTAGGGACGCGCTCTCGAAGAGCCCTCGGCACCTGCCCACGCCCTCCTTTGGGGCACGGGTGACCGACAGGCGGCTGCCCCAGGAGGAGGGCAGCTCCCGCGGCGGCGGCACGGGGGGAGCCGGGGATGCCTTACCTCCATGCCGAGCCGCTGCTTCAGCACCAGGGCGGCACACAGGTACCCGGCGCGGCCCACGAAGAGCTCGTCGGAGCCGCACTCGAGGAAGGAGAGCGGCGCGCAGACCTCGCTCAGCTCGCGGAACTTGCCCAGAGGCCGGGCGAAGTCGGGCAGCCCCAGCGCCCGGTACACCAAGGCGGCCACCGCGTACACCCCGGCGCCGCCCAGCAGGAAGGCGGCGCGGGTGTCGGCGTCGGCCTCGCCGCCCGCCTCCTGGTAGCGCAGGCAGGCGTCCACCACGCGCCGGGCGGCCCGCAGGTAGGCCTCCCGCGACGGCGCGAACAGCGGGCACTGCGCGACGTGGTACAGCATGTAGGCCACGCCGGCCACCCCGCCGTACAGCCCGCCTTGGCAGCCGCGGGGACCGCCCGCCGCCCCGCCGCCGAGCGGCGGCAGCTCCTTCAAGATCCGCTCGATGGTGGCCGTCACCAACGGCACCGCCACTTCTTTGTCCGGCGCGGCCGCCAGGCTGCCCGCGTAGTCATCGAAGCGGTTGGCGAAGCAGCGCTGGCTCGCCATGCCCCCGCCGGCGCGGCGCTCTGCGCAGCGGGAGACGGCGCGGGGCGGCCGGGAGGCGGGAGCGCGGCAGGGAGGAGCGAGGAGGCGGGAAGGGGCGCCCCTCGGGGCCGGGTTGCCGCCCCTTCGGTCCTCCCTGCCGGGCGCGGGTCTCCCCGCGTAGCCCCCGTGGCTGCCGCTCGGTTGCTTTCAGCCGTCGGCGGATCCGCCGGGATGAGGGGTGTATGGAGGTTTGCGTCCTCCCCACGGCGTTGGAGGATGGGGCTCTGGGAGGGCAGAGAGCAGCTGGGTTTTCTTGGGAAGCGGCCCCACGGGAGCTGCGGCCACATGTAAACGAGGGGAAAGCTGAGCGAGTCCCTGGCAGCCTCGCCGTGATACCGGACCATCTGTGGCTCCTTCAGGCGCGAGCCAAGCAGAGCTTGTGAGGAACAGAAGATACGGGTCACTGAGTGGGCTCCTAGTTAAAAGAAACCAGATCAACATCAACAACAACACATTGATAAAGATTGAGGCAAACACTAAGAGCAGCTCTCGTCCATTTGAACTGGTGGATAGTGAAAGACCTTCCAAGGGCTGTGCCTCCCTAGTTCCTTTGCACATAGTGCCTTTCATCTTTCAGTTCCTCGTACACGATGGCACGACAAATAATAAGATTTAAGTCAAAGAATCTCATCACCTCCAGGGGGTTTTGGATTAAGCCACTTACAGCAATCATTTCATAGAACACAGAATCATAGAATGGGTTAGGTTAGAGGGGACCTCACAGCCCACCCACCCCAACCCCAGCCATGAGCAGGGCTGCCCCCCACCAGCTCAGGCTGCCCAGAGCCCCATCCAACCTGGCCTTGAGTGCCTCCAGGGATGGGGTACCACAGCTTCTCTGGGCAGCTGTGCCAGCGCCTCACTGCCCTCTCAATGAAAAATCTCACCCTGACATCTAATCTGAATTTCCCTTCTTTTAATTTAAAATCGTTCCTTCTTGTCCCATCACTGTCTACTTGTATAAAAGTCTTCCTATTGCTTATGAGCTCCCTTGAAGTACTGGAAAATTGCAATGAAGTCTTCCCTGAACACTTCTCCAGACTGAACATGTTCAGATTCCACAGCCTGCCTTCGTAGAAGAGGTGCTCCAGCCCTACGATCTTCTTGGTGGCCCTCCTCTGGACCTGCTCCAACAGCTCCATGTGTTTCCTGAGCTGGGGGCCCCAAACCTGGACACAGTAGCCTGGGTGGGGCATTACCAGGCACTTCAAGCACCATATTCTTGCCATTGGATGCCTTTGCCTTCAGCACATTATGGTCAACAATTTTTTCTCTTGAGTGTTTTTACTCATGTTCCCTACATTTCTCCGAAAGACAGATGTTCCTGTGGGTTATCAGCAAATGCCACACATGTAAGCTTAGGAAATCAAATAATAGTTTATACAAATCAAATCATTTATTACAAAACCATGTTTTTTGCATCTATTTCTGGAAACTATGACATGCTGTGCTATAACGAAACCTGACATCAGTGGTGTAAGTTAATAAACAAACAGTAAATTGATGAAGATGCTTGGTCTTGAGTTTCTGAAAGCAAAGCTCCTTGTACTTCTCTGATAATGTTTGTGGTGCTTCTAGATTTATATTTGCCAACTCCACAAGTGTAAATATTTGCTTCAATATGGTCAGGCTTTGAATTTTTTATTCCAACATTTTTTTTTGCCCCCTCATTTTGAGGATACTTACTTTGTGTTTTCAGTCTCTTGTTCAGATTTAAAAGGCAGATACTTTCCTGCAGTCTTTTGGGTTGGCAGATGACTTGGACAGGATCCTCCTGTTGATGACAAAGGAATCCTCTCTGTAGATGCTTGTCTTCCTGCAATGAAAGAAACCACAAGAGTCACCTTGGCTTGTACATCTTTCTGAGAATCGCAGCAAGGGGAAATGGATCTTTGCCAGTTTCAGCAGAAAATGCTTTAAGGAAAATACGAACTTTACAGGAAAATCAATTGGGTTAGCAACATTGTTCTTTAAGAGGGTCGAACAAGACTGCTACAATATTTTTTAGAAAGGAGCCTGTAATCACATTCAGAAAAGGAACAGAAATATTCTCAAGAGTCTTTTGATAAAGTAAAGAGTGCTCAGCTACTGCAGGGCAGGCAGATGTCATGCAGCAGTCAGTGAGAAATGAGGATGATAGTTTCAGCTGTACCTTTTTTGCAGAGGAGCACTGTAGCCAATAGGACAGCTGAAAGAGAATTACACAGATACTTCTTACAACTGTACATTTATATTTAAACATGTATTAAATTGACTAGTTTAAACTGCTCTTGTTGCCTTGCATAAAACTTTCGTGCTTTTAGATATGATGGGTTCTGTATGCTTTTCACTCAGATAATGCCTAGATGCATCCCAGATATGAATGGAAGAGAAGGAAGGGTGTATCGTGTCTCCAGTGTATATAATATGTTTCTCATCAGATCTTAGTTTGCTCTCCTCTAGTGTCCCAGTGGACTTGTGGGCCTGTGGTTTCAAGATGAGAAAAATGTGAATCCTCCCCATTTTTCCCTTTTACATTGGTTTATGCTTCCTAGGTATGCCGTGCTTCTTGATCCAAGAAGCCAAGGAGTTGGAGGGAAATTGCAGGTGGTAGAAGTAAAAGGGTATGAGACAGGTATGGTGCATATAGGTAGTGGAGGGGGGAGCTGAATCTTCAAAGCTGTTGCTTCCATTCTAGAAAATCTGTCCATACAGAGCACATCAGTTTGTCAAACACGTGGGTTTTGGGGTACCCACATGGTGGTCAGTGTTCCTGCACTGTATTCCAAATCTCTCCAAAGCTGAAGGTGAAATACTGGGCTCTCACACCCAGGCTAAGCTTCAATAACAGATGTGTATTTAGAGTTGTCCTAGAGGCTGTCCAGACCGATTAGAGTGCACTGTCTGTTGAATTCAAGAATAGCTCCCACTCAATGTACTGAAATCAGCCACCAGTACCTGTTACTGCCCAGTGCTGCCATTCACCCTCAGGAGAGCTCTTCAGGTAAAGTTTGCAGCTAGCACCTCTCCCTGCCTGCTCAGGCTTTGTCCTGGGAACCAGCACTCCGAAATGAATGTCTCTGGAGTTCATAGGACAACCTCTCTCTGCTTTGTAATCAGTTCTTGGCTGATAGGCAGCTGGCTCTTGGGCAATTGGCAGAAGGGATTGAATTAGGCAGAGTTGTTTCATGTCTGCGCTAGAATTATATAATCATTAAGGTTGGAAAAGACCTCTAAGATCATCAAGTCCAACCATCAAGTGCCCATTTTCCCCTTATGCCCTTTTTCTACCTTTGCTGACATGGGTTTTTGAAGAACAACATACCACTATGTGCTGCAGACACTGTGCTAGCAGCCAAAATACAGACAAGTCTGACCAGAAGACACACAGCAAGGGCAGTCCCAGGGGTTTAATAGCACTGTCATTCACATCCTTCTCCTGGCAGTCTCTGGTTGCTCAGAAATTTATGCTCATGGTTACTGTAAATATTTTTTCATTTCTCAGATTGTCCTAACCTGTGCTGTATGGGCTCTGCTCACAAACTGCACAAAAGCTTTTGAATTTTTGTTCCCTGACAGTCATTTGACAGTGATGTGCAGACCTATTTGGAAAATGAAATACTTCTTGGCACCGCACAGCGGAAGCTTTTTTCCTAAGTCAGCCTTTTATTCTGTTACTTGTGCGTGGTTGGTAATACAAACACAATTTCTGCATGACAGAAGTGATGTAAGTTTTACTGCTTGTATTGCCATTTCATCACAAGGAAAATTACCTATCAGAAGATAGAGATTATGTTAAATATTGTGTTAAATATTTCAATTATCATACATCATTTGGAGTCCAGTAGGTTTACTTTTACTGTTCTTCTGCTTTCATGAAGCAGACCTGCCTTCTGAGACGTATGTGTTTGTTGTTAAACAAGCTGGTCCATGAACAGTGAAACTAGTAAGATTGGATGTCTTAGCGATTTGTTTTCTATTTTCCATCATGGCTGTCTTTCTCCCAGTCCTGTCCCATGCCAGTAGTTCTTACCCAGTTGCACTGTTCCCATCTGGCAGGTGAGTGTAGTTGTAGTTGGCCCATGGTTAAGGGCTGCACTGAACTGCCTTTTGCTCCGAGAGAGAACTACATTTTTGTCCACAGCTCAGCTTCATGAAGCTTAGGAACTGAATAGAAAATTAGTTTCTTTGAGGCTCTGTCTTTATCACTGAATTTGTTTGAAACTGGCAAACAGATGCAAAATCATGGGATTGTGTGTGGAATGATAAATAGGTAGATGGGCAGTCATACGTGACCATGTGTGCCTTGCTTCCTTAGGAGGCAAGGAAACAATGCTAGAGAGTCGGTTGAAAAGACTGGACTATTTTAGCAAGAGTATCAGTATAGATAAAACACAGAGCTGTTGTAAAGTCTCTCATTTTTCATTAGGGAAAAGCATTATATCACCTTCAGTACCTCTATGCATTCTTATTTGCATGCTTGTAGACAGGCGAATCACCACCACACCATTGCTGACAAATGCCAAGGCTCTCTGCAGAGCAGGAAGTTTGATATTCTAAGTTTTGGCTTTTCTGGCAAAAATCTGTCTTCCAAAAGAGCACACTTGGGCCCTAATCTGAGCCACCCACTGGTATGGTTATTCCTAGAGTTCCTTCCCTTGGCTTGAACCTTCTGAAACTGGCAGGATGGTGGACATTTTCCTGCAGATATGTATGTCACAGTCTTCAGTTTCTTTGCCAAGCAGATTATGTCCAGTTCTGTATGTTCAAGGTGATTTCTAATGAACCAAGAGTACTTTTATATGCTTAGAGAACAGTAGTTAATTTGCAGCTCTCTGTGTGGTTCCAGCATCAGCTAACACAATAATGAAGCACAAAATCCTGCTGTGTTCTCCCTTATTGATATTAAAATAAAATAGCCAGTTCTGTATTAATAATTAGTCTGTCAGTGCAACACACAATATCAATTTGAAATTTCTTTA